ATTTGAAAGCTGTCGTGACATGTTTAGCTTGAGCAAGTTCTGAGACTAATAGGCGCACTGAACAGATCTAGACAACTGGCGAAATTCGAAGGTAAAATATAAATTCATTTTTTACTAGGCGTTGTCTTCGGGGTCGCCGTCGCCATTACTTAAGGTGGCTCGATCAGATTTTTGAGTGACGATACCGTTCAACTTCGAGCGACTAGAGCACCACCATTATCAATCAAGTGGTTTTATTTCCCACCCAATTTAATCATTTCAGGGGCAATTTTTGATAAAAAGCAAAATAACACCCCACACCAGTTGGTATTCTAGCCAGTGTTTCTGAAAGTCAAACGGAGCGATTTCTTTGAGATTTCCAGTTCTACTTCAGGTATCTAGATGTTATAAGATTCATTTGAGACCAGAATAGCATTTAGTCAAGTCTTGTGGACATCGTTTGCAATGACATTTAAAACAGCTTCGTTTTTGTTGTATTTTGACACCTTGAAACTTCACTCGTAACTTTCTCGAAAACGCTCTTATAGATTTTTTTTTAATTTTGCCATCGTTAAGACAACAATGTCAAGTCCGAGATCCATACGTCATATTTCCAAAATTACCCTTGATAGTAAGTTATTCGGTCTTATGTAAAATGCGTATGCGTCATCTCGTTGCTATGGTAACTCAGACCTCCGTAAGACTTACCTAATTTGAAACTTTCATCTTTCTCTAGCGCACCAGTAACGTTTGATTTTCTATTGGATTGATAATGGCGATGTTCTAGTCTCTCAAAGTTGAACGGTATCGTTACTCAAAAATCCGATGGAGCCACCTTAAGCCCCCTATTAATAATTATGATGGCTCAAACTTACGTTTCCCAGTCCTCCTTCGCTTCCTTCCCCATCTGCGGAAACTTCGTTCATAAAGTTTTGAAGCTCAAAGTCATTTGCTACATCTTCATCACAATCGTAATACCTTGAGGAAAAAAAATAAGGAAGGGGAACGGATCCTTTTTCATTAATTTGATAAACATTCACTTTCTCTCTACAATATCGATAGCAGGTAATGATAATATGAGAGATCATCAACTTGGGGATGAGGTTCTTATCGATTTATCGCACTCCCTCCCCCTGCCCCCTCCCCCCGCCCAAACCGACTTTTCAGTAATCGTTTAAGAAAAGTTTCTGTTTCATATCAGAGGCAAATAAAATAATATTTGGCCTACATTCCGTGTCACTTGGGGTAACATATGTCGTCTATTTTGTTTGTTTGTTTGTTTGTTTGCAGCTTTGGGGTAAATTGCGTATCTTTTATTCCCAGATCTCTTTTAACGAGCCGGAAAGAGATCTAGGAATGAGTTTAGAAACATCCAAGACACGTCGGACCAGGGATGCCATTTACATACTCCAGGTGCCAGAGCCCCGACGATATTTTTCCCTCGGGTTCTGATCGCAAGCTCATATTTAATTCCCAAAGAGAGCTTTATGATCAAAACTGTCACGTGACTTACTGCATGACATAATCCCGAGCCGCCTTTTGGATAGTATAGTATAGCAAGTAACCGTCGTCTCTGTAAGGGAAATAATGAAGGGATCTGCGTTCCACTCCACGTTGCTGAAGACGAAGATAATAATAACCGTGTCAATCATTGTTTTTGTCAAAACGAAGCCTAAAAAATACATATTTGTCAGGAAGAGTTTTTTGTCCCACATTGCTGATATTTTCGTCGCTGGAAGGAGGCGCGCTAGACCCTGCCTGTTTTTAACTTGTTATGTTGCCAGACTGCTGGAATGGAGAATATCTGTTACTTATTTTCAAGTTCAGTTGTACAACAAGGTGCGAGGGAGCTCGAGGTAATATTTAATAAATGATTACTACATTAGGTAAAAATGTAAATAAACAGAACGAATGAAGGAAGGAAGGAAGGAAGGAAGGAAGGAAGGAAGGAAGGAATGAATGAATGATAGGACCTTTTACGGAGCTTCCCTTAATTTTTACCCCGTGGACATCCCGCTCGTTTCCTCAGTGGACCTTTCCTCAAAGCCTTATTTTTCTTTTTTCCGATGCAACTGAAATTGTTGCCAATTTTGTTGCCCATTTCTCTTCCATTTCTATCAGTTCTACCCCGACTACTTTTCACGAGTCCCGTGCCTTCTCACGTTACAAATAGTAAAGTGTATCTGAGACACCGGAACGAGAATAAAATGAAAAGTAACAGGTTGCACATCACCTTGATTTTGTTTAGAAAATCTGTATCTTTCCAACTCGTCAGCCTGAACTGCCTCAAAGCAATGCTCACAGCCCCACTATAACCATACGGGAACAATCTGTGAAGCGAAGCATTTTCTGCTAGCAGAAGTTTGAATGCCAGTTTGTCTGTTATACTGATTCCTCGGCAGTGATACTTGATTAGTTGATGAAGTGGATGTCTCTCGGACAGTTGTCTGTCTTTGCTGACACAGAATGGCTCCATAAGGAGATGCGTCTTAGCCAGGTGTTCTGCCACCTGATTGTATCCCACATCTGCGCTCTGCACACTGAGTTTGGCCAGCATCCAGAGATCTTTGTCTTTAGGGGTGTAGACTGCGGAATCTTTGGCATGCAACAGCAAAGTCTCACTGTAATGTTGTTTTGTTCTAAAATTTTGATCGGAGAGTAATCCTAACCCTAACCCTTGAGAAAAATTTAGATAACAATGCAATGCGTATTTTCTCTCGCCTGTGTTCAAGTAAGGGTAATAACGATGGTATAAGTGGAGAGGGAAAAAAAAAGCTCTTGCATTTTCTACTCGTTTTCCATTACGCTTGATCCTAGCCAGTATATATAGCTAGCTATGGGACTTTTTCACTCGCGTGGTCAGAAGCCATGCAAATTTGTGAAGCGAAAGGAGGAGTTTACATAAGACAAGAGTTCAACTCCCAGAAGAGTGGTTAGGAAAACCACCATAACTGCCGTTTCATTGTGACGTCGTGTGAACACACTCTCTCTATATGATATGGGTTATTGACTGAGCGTGAGGCCAAGATGACTGGATTTTGCCGGCCAAGTTCTTTTTTTTGCTTGTTTACGGACCGAGACAGATTCGAGGTCCATAAAATACACCAAAAAAATAAAAGGGCCAATATACAGTTTTCCTGACCGAACAAGCTTGTTCAATAATGGATTTATTACATAGAAAAAGAACACTATTTTCTCGCGGGACACAGCGGGTAATTTCGAGCGGGCAAGATAGCACCATCCTGCCCGCTCGGGTAGCCAATCACAGCGCAGGATTCGGTTCATCTTGCTTGCTCACGGACAAAAATGCAATTCTCATACCAGGCTTGATGTCCATTTGGATGGCTATCGGCACCAGGTTTGACCGGTTGTCTGGATGAACAGCAAAGAATGCTATCGGTGAAGTGGGATCCCACATTTCTCTACCAGGACGGAATTCCATGATATCAGGCATGGCAGGCAGGTTATCCAACAGCGGATACCGCAGGACAAATATCATTCTGCTGGCTATCGCCTGTGCATAGGATCAAATGTAAAGAGTCATGCAAGACAATTTTAAAATACCTAACCCGGGTTTTTCGAAAGGTGGATAACGCTATCCAGGAACTCTAAAAAAGAGGGTGAGATGAAAAAAAAAAATTACCTTTTCCAGCGGAATTTTCGGCATGTTTGGGGTATTGATAATAAGGTTTTCCCAGTCAAATTCTTGGTTTAAAGTTTCCTTGAGTTTAGTCCATTTGATACCAACACTGTCTGCAAAGAAAAACCGCAATGTTACAAACACTAAAGGTTGTATGAAAAGACTTTACACGAATAACATTGAAACTTAACAGTCTCTTTGGGCGCTTTCTATTCATCGAAAACTTCTAGAAATTTTGAAACAATGACAAGTGGAATGACGGCAAGTTTCCTGAAAATCCGAAAATTGTTGATTTTCCGAAATGCAAACTATATTGAACCGAAAATTCCAGAAATTCAGGAAGGAAATAGGCTCGATTACCAGCCGCTGCTCGGGAAAAGGGCCCGCGCTCCTCCCCTGAACTCTCTTCTCGGGGAGGAACGTACACCGGACTCGAGAAAACGGCGGAAATCGAGCCTAGGAGGGAAATTCAAATAGAAAAAGAACAGAAACGCTGAAACGAGCTACGTCACGGTTTGCGCATCTTGAAAAGTTTAGCCTAAATTTTTTAAGTTCGTTCGTTGTTTGTAATCTGTGTTAATCTTCTCCATCCGTAACCATCCTTATTCCTTTATGGTTTATTATTGTATAACTCTTTGGTGTTTTTCTATCCTAGTAAACTATTGTTTTCAGGATTCCTTCAATTTAGAGGTCATTTTGTGTCTGGCGGAACAACTCAATATAGGGGAATCTTTGTTTACAATATTTTCCTCATTACCATAAGCGATACAGTTTCTGATGGAGCTACAAAGAGATTAACACTGAATATTGAAAGGGAACAGCACGATTAACTGTCCCAAGGAATTTGAGCGNTCTAGTAAAATCGTGTCTAGCATGATGCCTTCTATGTGCAAAGTCGTATGTTAATGAGGACAAATGTAAACAATGACGTCAGCAAAGATTCGCCTACACCGTGACTGAACTTCTTTACGTCAAAAATGACTCGTGCAACTTAAAATGGTGAGATGATCCATTTACCTCGATCTGTTGTAACTCTCATCAGTGTCATAGGATTGACGCCCGCGAGCCGTTGCTCAGCGAACACCTTGTCACGCATCCAGTACTTGATGATATCTTGGAATGGTTCTTCATCAGATGCACTTTTGAAATATGGATCCTATGCGAGACAAAACGTATTTTCCTATTTTTCGATTGTATTATCTTTTCATACTTTTTTCATGGGCATATCTCTATAAGAGCATATATTTAAAATGACCCCTTTCCGCTGATCACAACATAACATGAAATGGGACTATTTTGACATGTTAGAGTCCAGCAAAACTGACTTTTCTCGTAGAATTAAGGGCCCATTAACCGATTTATGCGCGGGCTCGCGCGCGTTGCTAAGGAGGTGAAATTTCTCTTCCGGTTACTTACGTCAGCCTGAGCGCGGAAAATAAAAACAACTGAATAACTTGCAGATTCGTTTACGTTTAAGATGTTTTTTCTTTGTGTTTCACAAAATGCAAAGTAGAAAAAGTACAAGCAAAGACAAAATAAGAGAAAAACAGAGAAACAAGAGCAATAGAAAGAAGAAAAACTAACTCCGTGTGGCTTTGTTTGATCTTACCGAAGTGCGCTGGTGGTGTAAATTGCGCATGCGCTCATAGGGTAACTTCCAATATATATCGGGCGCACTTCCGGTTTCTTTAAATGCCAAAGGAAACGCGGTTTTTCACTAAATCCGGTCTTTTTCGACGGATTTCGATTAAAGCCAACGTTGGAAACATAGCTATGCATTCCTTTTCCTAAATCATGCTTTTTTCAGAAAATTACGAATTTTTTTAAATTTTGAAATTCTCTAAAAATCTGACGTTTTAGAAATGAAACAAAATCTATGCATAGCGTAATGAGGATTTAAATTAAGATATTAAATCAATGAAAAAAGATCCCGATAAAGCAATTTGCCTGGGAGCCTTTGCGTTTTTTCAGTATTAGTCACCTGACTATGGGCGTGGCCTGATGACGTCATTACTAGTGTTACTGATCATGAAAAAGTTAAAACACATGAAATAACTCTGAACTAACCAAAAATGATGAGGTTATATGAGAATAAATTTTCCTTAGCGACGGCTCGAAGAGATCGGTTAATGGGCCCTTAAACGAAGCGTTCATGAAATAAAACTCAACTTTATATCTACTTAAAGATATAAAAGTTAACCGTTTCGGCCAGGGGTGAAACACACCTAAGACCTTATTTATAACTGAAAACTCAAACCTCTAAAAACGTATTTTTAGCACGAAGAATAATCATCGTGTTTTGCGCTTTGGGGCATTCACGTTTTAAGAACGAGGAATATAAATTCTAACAGGAGCCATAATCGGGGACGGAGACCGTAAGCGCGCGCCATTTCTAGTATTAGGGTTGTCCCCATGNGTTCATTCAAGAGCTAATAACCTTCCCTTAGCTTAATGTCAACGTCAGTAGGGAGAAGTTGTGGCTTTATGAGCTGTTACTCGTCATGATGTCTAGACAGGTTAACTTACTGCTGCAGATAATTTTTTTAGTCTAGGTTCCAGACCTCTAATATTCACGATCAGTACAGTTTGCAAAATTTGTGACGGTCACTTTTGAAAATGTATGTCATTGGCTACTTACGAAACGTCAAGTTCTGTATTAAAATGCGTTGGAATACAATGTTTATCACCGCTGTTTGTGTTATATTCTTAGCTCGGCAAGCTACGATGGCCTAAGAACGATAGCTTATACAGCCCCTTCCTTTCACAAGGTAAAACCCCTTCGAGAATCGTCTCTCACATCTACGTTGAATTTTCTATGAACAAGTTGTTTCCCGCTACTCCAAGTATTTCAACCAGAAGAAATTGCGCAACTACTCCAAACCCACACTTCCAGATTCTCACTCTTAACCCAAGCTTTCAGCCCAGATTCTTTCCCTGGCGGGTGTTAAATATATTGGTTATTGCCCATGCGTGAGGTCAAGATGGCTGGATATTGGCCAAGTTCTTTCTTTGCGTGTTTGTGGGCCAAGATGGAGTCGAGGTCCAAAAACGCGAATAAAAGAAGGCCAATATCCAGCCATCTTGACCGGACAAGCTTGGTTAATAAAGGATTTATTTCATGGAAAAAAAATCACTATTTTCTTACAGGATACTGCGGGTAGTCCCGAGCGGACAAGATAGCGCCATCTTGCCCGCTCGGGTAGCCAATCACCGCGCAGGATTCGATTTATCTTGCCCGCTCACAGAGCAAGCCATGGACCCTGTGCATAAATGGCACCATAAATTTGAATCACAATACTTCATACATCCTTAGTCTCGTACTCATGTTTCCAGACAAGGATATTTTACATGAATGTGAGGCTTAGGATGTATAAGTGGTGTTATTCAAATATTGGCGCCATTTATGCAAAGGGTTTTTTTTATAATAATGCTTGTTTCTTACCCCAAATGACGCTTGCGCTTTACGGAAGAAAGCGTATATCTTGACAAAGTCTTCAAAGCTTTCTATATCTTGTCCTGCGTTCAGCTTTGCCCATTCGTTTAAGATCGTGTAGCTTCCATTGGTTTTCGTCAGATAGATGTTAAACTCCCACATCTCAAAAGGGTGCTTGCTGAATACGGCTAGCTGAAAGAAATAACGCGGAAAGTAGCACTACACTAGTTAATAATTAGATTGTTGCCTGACAGTTGATGAGGGAGAATAATCTAATTGTTTTAACAGAAGTCTATTACTCATTCAATCGTTAGATATTCGAAAGTTTAGGTAAAACTTTTGTCGGTTACTTGTTTTTCAATTGTCATGTTCAGTAATCTGATTGGTTCCCCTTCAATGAATGGCGCTAACTGATAGAGTTGTTTATTGGCTTCAAGTAGCTGATAACGCTTCCTTTGACAAGCTTGAGAAGTCTTCTGAGAGAGCTCAACGGGGCATTCGTCTCCGTATATCCCTAAGATGAAAAAAAATTATTTCTTTAATTCGACATTACAAATTGCCAAAATGAAAAATTAAGACCACCCCTCTTCCCATTTCAATGATATAAAAAAAAAATGGCGAGTTTTAGTTATAGCGCGAGTTCAACATAGATTTGGGGGCCGGTTTTATTTCTTATTATATTGTGTCCAAGATTGTCGGTTCTTAACCCATCCCAAGTTGAAAAGCTAAACATGGACCCAACCCACAAAAGAACTAAGNTACACTTATACCAAGGAAAAAGTTTAGAGGTGAACACAACAATACTAGAGGCATACGAACCAAACGCTGTCTTCTTATTGAGCTTCATAACGCATGTACTAAAGAATTTTAAATAGGCCAATTTCGATATATGAAAATTGTAACTTGGCCTCGGGGAATTTTAATGTATCGAAATTGGCTTATTGGCAGCCATTTATGAAAAGGGTGTATACCGAGAAACAGAATAAAATTTTAGATTCTACCTTTGCAAAGAACTCTCTAGATTTACAACAGAAGATACTCCATCAAGACACCAAATACATTAATTCGAAAACAAAAACGCGGAAAAACAATATTCTTATAAAAAAGAGTGTATCAGAGCCATATTAAATTGAGGTTTTATATTTCCAGTATGGATTAACCAGAAGCAAAAATGACTTTCTATCATACCTGAGTTTCCATTCACAAAGCACAAGGAGGACAGGACAACCAATGCAATTGATTGGAGAGAAATCATCTTGGGTAGCCTGTTCAGTGGGAATCTGATACCTGCAGATAGTAAAATATGAACACTTATAGTTATTCGGTGTCCACAGAGTTCTGAAATGAATCTATAGTCTCTAATACTCACTTCTCTGGTCTCAAAAAGGATCAGTGAGGTCTTTAATATTAAAGCTTAAGGCCTATTTCCGGTAATTAATAACTCCCTGCGAGGATAATCCACAACAAGTAAACTCTAGAATGGAGGTAATTACAGTTCCTTTTTACAGAACCAAGGCCTGTTTTCACTAGCGCACAAGCATCAGGATAGGTAACACTGATACGCAGGCGCAATGAGATATTGATAATTGGAACCTTTTGTTCAAAATATTTCCTACAGGCACTACTTAGCAGCACATTACTGCGCCTTAGTATGTTGCTATTTGCGTCCATTACTCATCCGGACACACATCGTTATTAAACTGGACGCGTGGTACAGCCAAGCCACTATAGCTGTCTCACCCCGCTAACGACAACTAATTTCAAAATCTAATCCCGGTGAACACTGCACACCTCCAACCCGTCCCCAACCCTCTGCTCCGTGCCGGCAAAATGGTAATTTATGCTAATTTGGGATTATCACAAATTACATTTTATGCT